TTAGGAACCCAGACAAAGTATCTTTGTTGAATCTGTTTTTGTTCCAGTTTTGATCATACACAAAACACAACAGAAAACAATGTAGTTGCTCCCTTCTGACGGAGGAACTTAGCAGTAGAAAGGTTTTGGTTAGTCATAATTCATGCATAGTCTATGAGTGTAAAACAAGGATTGTGCAAGGTTGTGGACATTGCAACATGAATCTTGGTATCTCGCTCCTGTGAAGTTTGGCAGACTTCATAACCAATCACCTCTGTTTACGATGCACTAGTTGAAAAAAATTTCAGCTCAATATGGTGTGGAGTTGACTGTCACTCATAATGAACAAAAGGTGCATATTGTTTTGAAAAAATAAAATGTAATAACTTTAAAAAAAGAATTTCATTGCAAACCTTAGCACATAAAAACAATTCCTATTTACTTTAACTTAGTAAGCAGTGCTTACAAAAAGCAAAAGACTGATTCAGAAATATTTTCTGAAAGATGCAAAGGCCACTTTCTCATATTCTAAGGCTAATATATGGTTCCTTGAAATTCATCTGTCTTGGAAACGTTTCAACTGAGCTTGAAATATCCAAATCCTTTGTAATAGTCACAAACTCCCCTTTTCGCGTGATTCTTTCTTTTTTTCTTTCTAGTCTCAATTTGCTTTAAAGTCTCGGTCATATTTTCAAATAAGGATCTCAGGCTTCTCAGCCTCTCAGCAAGTCTTGGATTCCACCATTCATCACCCCTTCATCTCAGATGTAACATTTTTTGTGAATTAATTCAGTGGGATAAAATAAGTATTGGAATACCAAAATTCTTCTTGCTCTCATAAATCTTGACAATCAAAAATTGGACGGGATAAAATTTTGACTGTATATTTACAATCTTCACAATAACCCCTGGAAAAATGGACCTCACATTCCAGGCTATGAGTTGACTCTAATATTCTTGATGATAACAATGTTTTGGTTAATTGTGTCAAATACTAATTTCGATATAACAAGAAAGATGTCATTTTACAAGAAAGATGTCAGTTCCATGAGATTCATTTGTTTTTGTCACAACTTCAATGACATCTGAGTTTACACTGTACTTCAAGTTTCCTATTAAAAGTGAATCCTTACTAATAATTAAAATTGCTCAGACTGTTGATTATCTCACTCATTCTTGCTCCCAGAAGGTAACCACACCATGATATCACATGACGCGAACACATGAGTCCCGTATGGACTGTATAGGTGCAACCCACAACAGCCAATGATAGCAACAATTCATCACATATAACGGCAACTTGCAGAGACGCAGCTGGGACAGTTTACCTCCAATAAATTTCAGGGCATCAGTATGTCAAGTTAAGGGCAACATGATATGAGGCAGTGCAAATGTCAGTTAAAAAACTCACAGACATCATTTTCATGTTTTCTACTGACACTACAAGTAAATGGTAGGTGTAGTGGGAGGTCTGTGTTCAAGCCCTGGTTTGTGTTGTGTTCTTGGACAACAGACTAAACTCTCACGGCATCTCTCTCCACACAGAAGGGGAAAAGGATACCAGCAATTTTTGTAGGAAAGTACATGATCAAGTTGATCAAGTTTCCAAACACCTTAAATTTGGTCAAAAGTACTTAAATTGTAGCACATTTATATTTGTCAAATCTGTGTGGAAAATGTAATGAAACTCTGTCTATCATGAAACTTGGTAAATTGCTTCATGTAATAACTTTGAAAATTTACTCATTCAAATGTTTTTCCATATACTGATTTTAGATACATGTAATCATAGTTATGATCAATTAAACCAGTTGGTCAGATACAACTTAACTCCAAATCCCACATAAAACAAACACCACAAATTTCAAAGGATATGCAAGTGTCCAGGGAGGCTCGCCTCCATTGATATAAAGCACGTAAGAGAAGCCATCCTTGTGCATCCCATCAATAGCGTAATACAAAGGTAGGTAGCGAAACTGCCTGAAATGTCTCTTGTCATAAAATTTCATTGCAACTGAGTTTGTGGTTAAAACATGAAGATAGACAGCTTTGCAGTTTTGTCTCTCGGGTGTGGTAAGGTGTGAGAGTAAGCTGTCTAATAGAAGAGACCCTGAAATATAGAGAAGAACTTTTTACACCTGTATGTAGCAATTGCTCATGCTCTGTCTATAAGCCATGCAATTATATTTGTGACTAAATAGGAACACTGCAGTGGCCAAACATTCTACTTTTATTTAGCCTGTGTAGTAAGCATTACCTTACAAAGAGCATTTTCCGCATTCTGGACACTTGCAAATCGGAGCAAGAACAAAAAAAATCAAGAAGGCAGGGAGTGATGATTTTTTTTGTTCTTGCTCCAATTTGCATGCAGCCAGACTGTGGAAAAATCTCGTTGTACAGGAATGCTTGCTGCATAGCCTAACTTTCATTTTTCTTTAGCATTGCTACCATGGTAACTTGAATGGGGAATATAAGAAGGACAGCAGCATGCATACAACCCCAAACACCCACCCCCTCTCCCATCAATTTCTTAGCCCTTCTCACAGATTGTCTTTCTCGTGCCCCGTTTTACCCGATGAACTCACAACAAAACACAGACTTTTCAATTGCAGTTTACAGGCGACTTCATGTTTTCTACTGAATCTCAAAATATTTCAATAATGCTGTATTGGTTACATTAAATAATTTTCCCAAATATTAGACAGACTAAACTTTTCCTAAACGTACTCCTAAGAAGATTAATCAAATTTAAGTCATCCACAACTGTTGATATAAATAAGAAAATCACTTTAGAGTCTATACATTTCAACTGATAACTGGTTACCTATTCCATGTCTTCTAAAAACTTTGACCACACCAATGCTAAGAATATAAGCTACTTGGGTGTCATCACTGAAAGTGAATGAGAGAATACCAGCATCCTACAAGACAAAAGAAAAGAATTCACGATATATAAAGCCTATTCCATAATTTCAAAATCAAATTTTACACTTAAAATACAGGGGCAAAGTGCCCAGGGGGGAACTCCCATATAAAAGAAAAGATGGGGGTGCTTGTCATCCCTTTTAGGGGTTAAAAAAGCTGTTTTGTACCTCATAGGGTGTTCAGTCTCAAAAGGTCCACAGCATGAGCTTTTGTGGTACCTTTTAGGGTATTGAGCAAAAAAATCTATGACAGGAGATAAAGTGTTGTTTTTGAAGAAATATTGCCACTCTTAGGGGTGAAAAAGTTTCAAGTCATGCCCACAAAACAGGATCTTGGTAACTCCTGGGGATTCTTTTCAAAATTTCTGATGAGCACCCCTGTACTGTCTATATGGGAGTCACCCCCCCCCCCCCTCCCAGGGAAAAGTCAGTCCACACTGTCATTGTTGACTGTATTGTATTTTTTGTTTCTGTAGCATGAATATATACATTTCAGAAACACTGTCACCCACTGGTATTTTATCACAGGGCCCCAGGAGATTATTTTGCTATGCAATGTACGAGATTTCATGATTGTTATCAGAATTTGAAGTATCCATGGCAACTATATTTTGATTGTCATGTTTTTCCAAATTTTGAATTTTCTTGTTTTTATTAACAAAAGGTAACTCTGACTTACAAATGAGTGCAATACTTTTACATTTTTATTCAGGACCCTTTGGCTTCTTTTTATTTATTATTTTGACTAGTCTTGAGTTGTCTCTAGTGGTTTAAAAGAATGTCATAATTTTTTGCAACTTATTACAACCTTTTCTAAACACACGCAGTTAATTCCATATTTTATTGTACCTCTTTGTTGCATAAAGACTTTGTCTTCACTTCTGCTACAAGCAAACCAATGATGTTGTGGTTCAAGGTGGCTGCCAGCGAAAAGAAGCGGGAACTTGATGTTATCTCCTTGTACCAAACATCTGGATACCTGTGCAGGATATATTGCAAATAAAATATTCCTCATCACTTGCTTTGGTGAGACAAGACGTCTTAACATAGCAAAGCTGCACTATCAAACTCCACATACCCAAGTATACATTATAATAAGATGATGTAGCAAAGTAAACCTCACTTCGTGAGAAGAATGTTATTTCCATTGGCAGTATCACATATATGAGTGTTAAATGAATGAAACAATTAAATCATGCTTTTAGCTGTGCATCTTTGAGTTATAGACACTTTGGAAAATTGGAAAATTTGGAGTGCACTCATGAAGATAGAGTTGTATTTTCTCAGCTGTGCTTCAACCCTCAAGCAACTCTCATGCTTCTCTCATGTTCTCCAAACTTCCTGTGCGCACAATAACTCCATGATGTACATGTACATGTACACTAAGGCATAAATCAATTGTTAATTCACTCTAATTTATCAGTACGCCACATGGAAATTCTAATTGTCTTATGAAATCAGCAGATCATGTGGAGCTTTGTCCCATAATTTTGACTTTTGTAGTTTTGCTCCCATCATCTCATGCAAAAATTATACCCAACTACCATCATAATTTACACTTGCCTGAGGCTGTGAATGCCGTCTTTGAAATCCTACATCTTATTTGTGTCTTACACGATAATGCTAAGCAAGTTGTAATTTTGATGTACACAAAACAATTTGTGTCCTAGACTTACCCCAAGTGTATTACACAAAATAAAGTTGCACTATCTGGATCAGCCTTATGGGTGCATTTGAGAAATATACTATGGTACTTGGAATCATTATGATGCAAAAAATGCCTGAAAGTCTAAAACAGGCTTCCCTCTTGTTCATTATTTAAATGAAAAGCTTGCAAAGCAAAAAATATATACAAATATGAGGTCCATTGCTTTTTCTTCTGTGGTGTCTTACTGATGAGATTCCCAAGATAACATTTTGTTCTTGTCAGACTGGTTTACACTTAACTTTGCATTTTCACCAGTTTCCAACGCAATAGTTGTAAACACCAGGGCTGTCAATTAATTTTCAGTCGCCTGTACCCTTGTTCTCCACACCCCTGAACACGTATCACTTTAATTTATTGTTGAAGTCAGAACGTATACATGTAACAGCCATATTTTGACAGTTCAGAGCTAACTTTAAGCAGCAAGGTCGTTCATTTATTGAAGCGTAAGCTGTCAATCAACAAAGCTTCATGTGACCATGACTTAGCAACTGTAACAACTGAGCGCTTGACATAATTTAGCTACCGGCGCATGATCCTAAAAACCGTCTACTTTAAATTACACTGTTGTCTTCAACTCAAAAAGCTAGGGCCATTAAACCTCTGCTAAAATTTCGTTCGTTAAAAAAACAGTGTTGTGGATGAACGTTTTGCTATTCAGATAAACTAGGCTTGTCAAAACACAAGCCATCAAGTCTGTTCGTGTTTAGAATAGCTAGCGCACACACACACAAAAAAACAGTACACATGTTCTCGACTTGCTTCGTCCTTGAAGTACTTTTGGCTTTTTAGACCTAATTTTATTTTAGCAATGAGCTTAGTGCTGTGCTTATTTTGGTAATATCCAGCTAAAAGCTCCCGTTCTGCATAAAAAAAATAAAATCCATACTCACTCAATAGGAAACCATTCGCGGCACAAACGTTTGACTTCCTCCACATCGTTCGGGCATAAAAAACGCACCTGAACATCGTTTAAGAGCCCCAGCTTGATTGTCATTCAACTTTTTGGCAGCAAAATGTGCACAATTTAGCTTTAAATATCACAGCATTTGACAGCAATCTGGTCCGAAACTAGCAGAAAAATTCGCTGACATTTCCATTCGCGAGCGCTTCCGCCATCTTGAACCGATCACAAATCTGAGGAAGCCTGGATCGGCTATTAGTGCTCGGATATCCTCGATATTTTGTCGGTCCGTTTCGGGATCATATCGGACAGTGTCGGATAACAAAGAAATTTAGACTTCAGTCCCTTCAGCACTCGGCTTATTAAGAGGTAAAAAAGCTTCCATGTGCAGTTACCTTTCATTGTTCTTCAAAAGAAAGAACTGGTAATTACGCAATTGTGTTGTTTTGTTGACTTTTCACAAAGGAGCAGAGATCACGAAACTTTCCAATTTGAAATTGGTTTTTATGTGCCTCAGGTACAATTCAGAAAGCTTAGCTTATATTGTTTAATTTTACAGGGTCTTATTTGGATGGGATCCTCGAAATCCAAGCTACAGATTTCTAATTCTGAAGTTTTGAAAGAGGCAAGGCAACTGCAAGGTGTTAGTTCTCAAAGCTTTTGTCAGGTAAATAATTATTTCATCAGTTATCACAGGATTATCACTTCCATTTAATTATAAGCTTTATAAGGCTTAAACTAAGGTTATTCTTAAGCTTAATTAACTTAACCTAGCTTAGCTTATTAAACATGTGTGGTTTTCCACTAGATTCCATCAGCTGAAACTATGATTTTCCTATTAACACAACCCTTGTTTCTACAGAGATTGTATTTATTTTTACAAATTGAAATAAGTCTTGTGTTCACAAAAAGAAAGCTGAAATAACTTGCTCTTCAACTTGCAGGCAATGACTGCTCCAATTTCTTTGTTCATGGTGGGAGATGTTATGTTGGGACGAGGCATTGACATGATCTTAGAACACTCCTGCAACCCTGTACTCTATGAAAGCAATGGTCTTGATGCAAGAGACTATGTATCTTTAGCAGAAACACAAACTGGACCTCTTCCTGATAAAAGTGAACGGCCAGTTGATTACGTTTGGGGGGATGCAATACAAATTCTTAAAGAAAAGAAGCCAGATCTAAGAATCATTAACTTGGAAACATCAGTGACAACAAGTGACACACCATGGCCCATGAAAGGAATCCATTATCGTATGCATCCAAAGAATATAAACGTCATCCAGTCTGCCAATGTCGACTGTTGTGTCTTGGCAAACAATCATGTTGCTGACTGGGGATTTCCTGGTCTCTTAGAAACTCTAGACACCCTTGAAAATGTTGGTATCAGATTTGCCGGAGCAGGACGTACTTCTTCAGAAGCAAAATCACCGGCTGTTTTTCAGTTTGCAAAAGCAGATACCACCAGAGTATTGGTCTTTGCTGCTGGTCACTCCTCTAGTGGAGTTCCTGATTCTTGGCAGGCAAGAAAGAACAAGGAAGGAGTTAATATTCTTGAGTTTTATGAGGCAAGCAGAGCAGTAAACAAGCTAAAAGAACAAATTGAAAAGTACAAAAGAGATGGCGACATCATCGTTTTGTCAGTTCACTGGGGAGGAAACTGGGGCTGGAGTGTTGACTCTTCCTTTATAAAGTTTGCGCACAAAGCCATTGATGAGGCAGGGGTTCATGTCATTCATGGGCATTCATCACATCATGTCAAAGGCATTGAGGTGCACAATGGTAGACTCATTATTTACGGATGTGGTGACTTTTTGAACGACTATGAAGGAATCACAGGTCATGAAAGCTTCCGTGATGATCTTGCTTTGATGTACTTTGTTGACATAAATCCAGAAACAGGCCTCTTGGCTGGCCTCAGAATGGTGCCTACTCAGATCCAGCACTTACGAGTTAACAAAGCCAAAGAGGAGGGTATTAACTGGCTTGTAAAGACTATGTCAAAAGAGTGTAGGAAATTCAACTGTGATGTGAAAAGAGTTAATAATGAAATCCATTTGGTCTTCTAAGTTTTGGCATATTAACCCAAGATGGGGTTAAGGAAGCATCGTGGAGTGTGAATCAGAGTACCAAAATGCTCTGTAAAAATACATTCCAACTGCATCTAAAATTATTTTATAGAGCTATTTGTTGACTTTTCTATTTAAATGCTTTTTGATAAACTATTTAGCAGGAACGTAACAGGTGGATTCATTAAGGCCTTTTCTGAGCATGCTATTTTGCAAGAAGTAAATGTTAGTGAAAAATATTTAAAATATATTTACAAGTATTCTTACAAGTGAAAGGATGGTATTTGGAGAATATCATCCTTTGGTCTTGATGTCACTGATCAAGTGTAATAGCTGGGTGACCAAGAGTCAGTATTCTCGCGGTACAGCCCTGAACAATCTTGGTCAATTTGAGGTTTTTAAGCAAGTTTAGTAATATAAATTTTTAAAAAAATACAGCCTGGTCAAATTGTGAGAAAAGTGTGAACTAGAAATGAACTCATGAAGTATTGAGATTGTATCCTTGCATTCACTTAGATGGAGAGAGCTTTTTTGGGAGACTGTATTTTGTATAAATTTTAGAGCACAACACAAGATCATTGCCCTTATAGCCATTAAGCTTGAACCTGAGGACTAGATCCTGAACTAGGGGCACCTGACCTTATGGCCCGGTGGGGGGGAGGGGGGTGGCACTCCCAAAAAAATTGGGTGGGGGTGTGCAGCCCACTTCCCCAAACCCTTACCCTATTTATGACAAAAATCTGCGATATTCCCTACCTTATTTATGACCTGACCAAAAATTTGAAACCCTATTTATGACCTGACCCTTAAATCAAAACCCTGTTTCAGACCTACATTATAATTAGTTCCCTAGTTCAGACCAATGTTAAATTACCATAAACATAATTTGTGAAGGGCTTTTGTTGATTTTCTTTTCAATAATGATGAAAAAGTGGCCTCTTCTTAAAACCATACCCTATTTATGACCAAAATGACCAAAATCAGCTAAAATCGATACCCTATTTATCACCAAAACAGCTGAAAAACCATACCCTTTGGGGCAGCACATACCTATATAGCCCATATAAGGGAGTACCTCCCCAGGGCCTTATGGCAAGGTACTTTAGTCTCACAGTGCCTCCCTATATTTTAAAGTAAAATGGATGCTAGCAAAATTTGTGTTTGACACTGAATTGCAGAGAGGAACTTGTGGTTTAAAAGACTAGCAATGTACCCCTCCAGAGAAACTGGAAGTAGTGCTATGGGTAGCTGTAGGTGGCAAAAATGTCATAAAAAGGCTTTGATAGCTTGATAAAAGAAAATGATGTCTTTAATGAGGGTTTGAGTGTGCAGAATAAATGGAAACATATTAATTTGGTGTCAGAATTGCATCACTTCAATGTGTTGCCATTGGAAAGTAAACCTTTACCTGAGGCAGAAATCCTTCCTACACTTTGAACTCATGTATGTTTACAGCCTTGAGCGTCCTCCTTTGCCATTTCACATCCTCTCTCTTTAGGAGACTCTTGGTCATGGACGCTAGTCACTTACATGCAATCATAAGCCAGGGATTTTCAACCGAAATATTTTTTGCGATAAGGGAGTTCTGCCCTGAGTTGCACACTGATAGGTTTTTCCTAACTACATGTATTCATTTATGCCTAAACCAATGTTTTACTATTTTTAGTATTGTCATGGATGCACAGGAAGACGTTATGAAAAATTTTCTGAAAAGTTCATGTCTGAGTTCGCATGCCTCCTGGCGCCTTTTAGATAGAGACTGGTAACAAGATGAATTTTACCGCGCAGTTGCTAGAGGTTTGGGCCTGAGTAACGTTCGGTGGCAGCAGCAATGGCGGCAGTTTTCAGTTGTTTTCGTTACATTTTGTTTGTTTTAACTCTTCCATGACTGTAAAGCGGATTTATCCTCTTGAGATTCCGTAGTCAATACTATGAATCTCTGTACAAATGTAAGTTCAGCAGCCATCGCGATCACTGTTCTGACCGACAAAATACGTTTTGTATTTTCATATGGCGCATATTTCAGTGGAGACATCGTCTTTGCAAAAACTAGTTCAACAGAAAGAAAGTGAATGGAGAGAAGCACAAGAACTGCGGAATAAGTCGCTACAGAGTTCTCTTAAGGAAAAAGAACGACAGCTCAACAACGAAAAAGTACGATTTAGGAAGTTGAAAGAGGATTTTGAGTACAACTTGAAACTGTTAGAAGAGAGAGACCAGGAACTTCAACGATATGATGCGTTGTTTTCACAAGTGAGAAACATCAACAGTTCGAGAGACAGTGAAATCAGTGATCTGAAAGTACACTTGGATGACCTCAGGCTGAAGTTGTTACACGAGGAGAAGGCTAAAGAAGAGTTACAAAGGCACTATCAACAGGTCTTAAATTTCATTAGTCTACACCCCGGCGTTAAATTCTTCCTTATGTTGATTGTCACACCTTTCTTTGTGTTGTTGTGCAGCAGTTGCACAACTGGACACACAATGCAAGGCTGAATTCTGAACTCAATTCTGACTGGCTTGCCGCATGCCTATTTGTGAAGTTATTGGCATGCAATCAGATTGGTGCTCAATTACAGCTGTCCAGTTGCAACATTTTGTAATTATTGTACTCATACAGTATTACTGGACATGTATACCATTTGTGGGTTTATTATGCACACTTAAATGGTTTCTTTTTTTATTTTTCTGTTTGTTATAAAATTGATGGAATATATCACTCGCTTTTTTCCTCTATAGAGATTCTCAAAGATTTCCAAACTTTAAAATTTGTTCTTGATATGAGTAATTCAGAGAGTAAGCATGTTAATTTAAAATTTGCGGAATTGCCTTCTTCCTGCATACTTGGCCGATTTTGAAATCACAAAATATTCACTGACCTGAACTCCACTAGGCCCGTTTTTAAGAATGCACCACACACAGTGTCACATACCACACTATATCTAGGTGACACAGTGTCCACTTACAACAATCAAATTACAAAGAATAATTATTTTAAACAAATAGACAGCCAATCAGAGTCAGAAATTTTGATAACTCTGTTATTGAGGCAATTGGACTGGACAAACTGCAGTGAGAGAACCCGGAAAGAAACCCTTGAAAAAGTTGCTTTAGATTTGTTTCTGAGTCTCTTTGGTATTTACATGTACACAGTTTATATTACATTCTTTTGCATTCACAATCAGAAGTTTTACCATTTTAAGTATCTTATCTCTTGTCCTGCAGTGTACTTACTCCAGTTGGCAATAGATTTCATTTTGTATATTGGTTTCTATTGTACTGTACTTTCCCATGATGTAAATTATTTTCAATTGGTGATTATAGCGCTTGAGAGAACACCAGCAGGAATTAAACCAGTTCAGACTCGACAAAGAGAATGAAGTGAACAAGGAAAGAGAAGAATTTGAGTCTTTTAAGAGAGAGCTCCAGGTTCAGCTGAGGTAGAAAATAAAATTAAACAGTAAATCATTTGATACATGGAATAATGACTACTTTTTATTGTAATTATTGTAAAACGTGTACCGAGAAAAGTAATATGACATCAAAGAGTGCTTATAAGGCCATCCAATACATGGTACATTATCATTGTTTGTTTATTGTTTATTGAATTCGTCACCAAAATACAAAAACAAATCAATACAAATAGACAAACAACTTGAAATAGGCAAATAAATAAATCAAAATAGTACAGTACAGGATGCAACTGGAGAAAGAAACAGAACTAGGTTGATGCTTATTTAGATGCTTATTTTGGACAGGGTGCTTCTTTTTAATTGTTTTGTATTATTAATAATTCATGACACCCGAGACCTGGCCAAATAGAGGCATATTAGGTAGTCGCAACTTGCCACTTCTATAACTATTTCACAGTTTTTGCACTGACTTGTATTCCCTTTGGGTGGGATCATATTTGCATGCCTGAAGCTTGAATCTTGTCTCTGAATTTCATAGGGCAGCTGAGGAAGATGTGGAGGCTCAGAGACAGGAGTTGATGGCTGGATTTGATGATGCGCAGCGCAAGAGAGAACATGAATTTAGAAAGAAAGCAGATGACTTGAGTAATTCCTTACTAGCTAGTGAATTAAAGGTTAGGGTTGTAGTTTTTGTGCTACGTGGTCAAAGTATATTGGCTACCTGTGGTATGCTCTGTGTTCCCTTCATCAGACATGGTCTTTATTTGGGATTAGATTAAGTGTAATATGTTTATGAAACAGGACTACATGTTCTCCAATTTTGAAATAACTGGATGAAAAAAAATAATTCTGAGGACAGCCAAAATTGGACAATGCCACAGACAAAGGATAATTTGTATCACAGAAGAAATTTTTTAGTTTCACTTATGAATGATATTTAATTTTCTCTAATTTTCTACTGTTACAGTAATCTGCATCATTTTACATGTATTTTTAACTTTCATCTTCAGCCTTGTAATTAATTAACTATGCTATAAGTAACTGTATACTCTGTGAGGAGGCCTATACACCTATAATGGACTGACATGAAGTAGAGATAGCAATGCCACAAATATTATTTACAGGTTAAAATGCTCACAAAGGAACTAGAGCTACTCAGAGCCAGCGGAGAAAGAGCAAAAGACGAACTGGAAGACACAGAAACAGTTGTTCATGATCTTGAAAAACAGTTGAAGCAGAAAGAATGGCAGTTAACAGACGAACAGAACATGAACAAAGCTAAGGTGGCTGAATTGGAAGCAGAAATTGAGCAATTAAGATCAGCGATGACCAAGATGCAGGAGAGATTTCAACACAAACATGCTGAGCTGGATCGATATGCAAAGGAGAAGGAACAAGCCCTTGCTGCAGCTAAAGAAGTATGTGGACTAAAATAAAATTAATGTTAATGGCAGTCTAAATAACATAAATTTCAGTCTTCATGGAGGTGCCATGGCTTCATGGTTGGTGTGCTTGACTGCGGATCAAGTACATGTAGTACAGGTTTGAGCCCTGGCTGGGGATGTGTTGCGTTCTTGGACAAGACACTTTTACTCTCACAGTGCGTTTCTCCATCCAGGTGTATAAATGGGTATCAGTAAACGTAATACTAGGAGGGGGGAGGGGGGGGTAACCCTACAATGGACTAGTATCCCATCCACTCCAGGAGGGAGTATAAATACTCCTAGTCGCTTCATGCTACACTAGCTACACTAGAAACTGGAGATATAAGCCGGCCTGATGGGCCACTTGGCTCATTTGCAGACCTTTTCTTACCTAAAACATTCAAGAACTAAGCTGGCTGGTGACAGTTTTCAGAGCTTTCCAGCAGTTATGGTTTGATGGATCAATACTATAAGTCTTTATCAACTGCTGTTACAATATTGGTATCACTCGAATGCCCAATTATTGGTGAACAAGTTGTGGTCATCATCATGGCATAATAGGTTACCATAGCAACATTACAACCTGCTAAAACACCCTTAATTTTAGGTTTAAATGTTTACAATTCAAGAATGGTTCAGTGAAGCCTACTTTTTTTGCATTTATTAAATATTAGATAATTTATTGAAAGCATATTAATAATATTTTTACATTAAGTTTACACTATTTACCCTGGTGTGTGGTTTAGACCCATGGTGAGCTTGAGAGAAGTCTAGAGGAAAAGATCCGTGTGTTACAGAATCAGCTAGAGACTGAGCAAGTAGAATGCCGCAGACTTCAATGGGCCAACAAGGATGCTGGGAAGGAGAGAGAGCTGGAAGTTCAGAGGTAGATGAAATGTCTTTTCTTAGTGGTATATAACTAATGCTATTCTCTAAACTAACTTATAAACAGTAAATGACATTTACATTTAGGTTTATAATGCCTCCCATTTATGTTTGATGACTGGATTGTTTGCTATCAGGTTGCATGGAATCATAGCTGATCTAGAACACAGGCTGGAGAAACAAACAGCTGACCATGGCCGATCCATCGTTGCTCGTGACTTGGAACTAGAAGCATTGAGACAACAAGAAGAGAAGATGAGATTGGAAATTGTGCAGCTTAAGGAAAACACTGACAAGTTAGTGCTTATAACTCATTGTACAGTCATGGGTAAAAGGGTCCAGGGTAAAAACTATTTTGCTTGAAAATTAGTTGGAATAAGGTACATGTACCTTTATTATTAGCTACAATGATAATTTCTGTTGTTTCTACTTTTCTCATCCAGATACAAAAAAGAGCTCACAATGGCCATGGAGCGTGAATCTTCCTTGGAGCAATCCAGGGCTCAACTTGAAGTTGATTGGCAGCGGCGGTGTGAGGATACTGAAAGAGAGGTGTACATGAAGCAGGAACAACTGCTGGCTGGTCTTACCAAGCAGAGAGATCAGGTATGATCACTTCTGAGAAATATGCTCATGTAACTGAAAGGTTTTCCTACGTTATAATTATTCTGTTTGTTTGCTGACCATGGAGCAATTTGACCGGATACCATAAGGGAATAATGCAGAGATAGCAGACATTTTTGGCGCAAGTCACATTACAACTTTGCACTATCTGAAATGTGTGTACCTTACAGAATATACATGGATCCATACCCACTCCATATAAGGTCATTTTTCAAATTTCAAAGTTCAGAGGGATGGAAGTGCAGGGGAATAATAATAATAATAATAATAATAATAATAATAATAATAATAATAATAATAGTAATGATGATGATGATGATGATAAAAATGACAATGACAACAACGATGATGATGAAGATGATGATAATATTAAAAAAATGACAGCACAACTTTCCATGAAATGAACTAGTGAGCTTCAAAACGAGTTCAAAACAAAAAGTCTTCTGTGAGAGAGATATCGATATTTTCTGAAACAATGCCACTAATTAGACAAAAACTTTGAGACTCTATGTCTTCACAAGTTGATGATCTATCACTCAAACACTCTTGAAGTGTCTTAAGAATCATGGGGAAAAACATTTTTAATTATTATTTCGCCTTTATCAGAGTGTGGCACTTGCCCAAGAACGAGAACGTGAATTAGCTCAACGAGATGATCTGATTCGAGTATTGACTCAGACTAGAGACCAGGCTCTTGCAACTCTTCAGCGTCACGGACTTGCCATTCCTACTCAGTTACCAAACAAGGAAGAGCAAGAAAAATCATATGCATACGATGCTGGTGATCTCCAAGACCTGCCTCCTGAGGAGAAGGTCAAATCCCTTGCAGAACAGAATGACAATTTACGAGCTGTGATTAGGCAAATGCGGCATGACATGGAGAATCTAAGCAACGAGTTAGCTGCGAGGTCCCCGTCAGTTATGGTGCAAGGCAGAGATGGTGAAGAAGGGACCTCAGTACCACTGACCACAGGTACAGCAGCCTCAAATAGTTAGAGTTCCCAAGCTTAAATCGATATTTCGTTTAATTGTGTTAATTTTTTTAGGTCTCAATTTATTTAAATTTCAGTTCACAGAGGTAGGTAGTAAACTTACGTAAAACACAAAGAGTAAATAAGAACTTGGAAAAGTTAGCCTGGTTCCAACTGGTTGCAGGTTACTTGTGTTCATGGTGAGTTTATGTTACATGTGTATAGTTGAAATACAGAAGTATGAAAGTTTCTTGCTGTCATTTGTTATCATATCATTTGTTATTGTAAATAAGTTCTTATTCATAACGTTGAAATGATCTAATTTGAACATTTGAAAGTTTCGTTATCATGTTGTATTCTTGGTGCTTTTCTTAACAGAATATGTTGAGTCACTGGAAAAGGAAATCACAGAGCTAAAATCAAAGAACAGAACACTGAGACAACAGATTGACGACATGTCACAATCAGCCAAACCTCCAAGACGAAGTCACAGGGAAACAGCACCGTCACATGGCGGCATTCAACCACAAGATCCATTCATACAAGCACACATCAAGGAACTGAATGGAACAATTGGTAAGAATCCGGTACATCACCTATTGTTGCCAAAGTGTCAAGCTCCTTACACCTACAATCTCAAAGGTGCTCTTTTATTATATAATAGATAGTCCCGTTGGGTTTCTTCACCTGGACATCCCCCCCCCCCACCCGCTTTAAAACAATAATATCCTGCTGTGGTTACACGGTCTAAAGTCAGATCCTGTAAACTTAATGTACACGGCTTGTGGCTACTTAATTTGGATAGAATGTTGATTAGTTATAAGCCACTCACCGCAATTAGAGTGCAAACTCTTTTTCTGACGAAATATGGGCTTATATTTCACAGTGAAATTTGTGGAAGACACCATGGGAGGTCCAAAGAATCTTTTGGGTATGATATTTATACTGCATAGGGATTGAGGCAGGGGACTAAGATAAACACCCGGGGGAACTCCCAGAAAGATTGGGTGGGGATGTGCGACCCGCAAAAAGTTCATTTGCCGTTTTTTTGTTTATGTTTATCAGGTGCTTTACGCCAGGAGAAGCTTGAGCTGTCAGCTCAAGTGAAGAAACTCCAAGCTACAGTGGACCATCTGCAGGGATCACTGAACCAAGCTCACGAAGAGGTAACTCTATAGCCCACAGAAAATCTAAATGACGGGAAAATAAACCAGGCGAGAGATGGAGTGGTTTAGATGAGAGAAGATTGAAATCTGCTCTTAAAGAATTGTTTTCCTTTGCTAGGTTCGCCAGAAACAGTTATCAGTGGATCAGGTACAGTACGAACTGACAACACAGAACAGACGAGCTGCTGACGAGCTTACTGCTCTGAAACAGCGAGTAACCGAGCTGCAACTACAACTGGCACAAACCAGGAAAGAGGCGGACGAGTACTTCAAGAGTGGATTGGAAAGGAATGCCGAAGCCACGTCCTTGGAGAATCAGGTGACCTGTTAGAGTAGTTTTTAATTTCTAGTTAGACAGGTTAGTGGAAAGCCAGCGATTCGAGAAAATACATGTACAAATCACTCGATTTAATTTTGTGGTAAGGTCAGCTTGTTCTGTATTAGTTAACAAACAATCAGTTAAAGCTATGAGTGAAATAATTATTGAGTGGTGAAGAGGGATAACGGAGACCTTCAAAGTGTTTTTTTTTTTTTTTTTTTTATAGTGCTTTTATTTAGACCTACTCGTGTAACAAGCCAAAGATTTGCTTTNGATCTAAAAGTCAATTCTCCTGACTACGTGTAATTCCATGCATTTCTTTGTTTGCTAGCCCTGAGTATTTCATGTTGAAATGAGCTAATGTCCCTAAGTTGATAATTCTCCCGATTCTCATTACCTGTCCCCTGGATGCAGACTTTGCGATAGGAGTCTGTTAGGCCTTTTCAAAGGTTTTTTTTTTTTTTTTTTTTTCATAGTGCTTTTATTTAGACCTACTCGTGTAACAAGCCAAAGATTTGCTTTGTTTTATCTTGATGACTTGAACCTTTGTAACATAGGTGTTGCCCGTGTCTGATATCGATTTGTGTCTGGTATTACTTTTCCCACCTTAGCTTTCAACTTTAAAGGTTGAGCTTGCATCGCAAGGCAGAGGGGCTGTGTCGTTCAATCCTGAAGCAGCGGTCATCAGACAACTTCAAGATGAGATTTATCGTCTGAGAAAACAATTAACATCAGGTAGGATATTAAGTAATCTTTGCTTCTTCCCACGTATAATGACAAGTCTTGAACCCTGCTATGTTCAAAACTGCGAAGTGAGTGAATCCTGGTAAATTTGCGTTTGTCACGAATGGAGTTCTCCGTACAAACCCTTCATTTCCCTTCATTAAACGTTTCTGAAAAACACTGAAACTGAGAAAGTTACTTTTTGTTTTGGTTTGGCAGCTCTCGTAGACTATAATTCAGTGAAACAAACTCCTTAAAACTGGTAAAAATTGTTTTAGTGTCTGAGTAAGAAGCAGGATTCAACTGTTTTCTTAACCTTCTGAGACAGTTTTATATTATCATACACTAAATTCAGTTGTTATGCGCTGTGTAACTTTGGATGTGATAGACAAAAACCGGTAGTTTGGTCAACTTAGAGAGATAGCCACATTCAGTAACGTTGTGTCGCGCATACATTGTTGGCAAATTGCACAGAAAATGTCCTCGTAATATACCCGAAAAACCCAGTCTTAATTGCAGCTCCTAATATTTCTCTTTCGACCTCAGAAATTTTTTTTCTATGTCGTTTCTGTTTCAATAAGGAATTCAAGGAAGCGACAAAGATTTCCTCGACTCAATGTCCCTTGCTCAACCACCGACATCTGACCTGGCGCGGCTACACGGCAAACTACAAGTGGCGGCGCGGCGCATAAACCGGCTTTCTCAAGAGAAAGAACAACTTATTCAGATGGGGAACAGGCTTAGAGCTGAACTAGCAAAGTATACTGGTAAGATAATGGCCCTTACTGGCAAGTCTTTGTGACTGAAAACTCGATGAAAGAATGGAGAACATTCTGGATATTCTTAGTCGTGGGCCCAGTTTTGAATAAGCGCCTTCGCCTTAGATGAAAGCAAAACTTAAATCATGAGGGCTTTTTGGGTGGAATTATTTAACAGCATACCTAAACGCTGTTAACTTGTTATTTGAAATGTCAGGAGACCGAAGGAGCGCTCCCCCCGGTGTCATTTCTAGGCATCCCTCGCAGCCCCTTGTCAGTCGAGGCCCTTCAGAAAAGACCACCGCTGGAAAGACCCCAGAGGAGATGAAGGACCATCTACAGAGCCAGCTCAGTGCTGTGGAAAAACTTCAATACCAGCTTACTGCTCACGAGCTCCAGTTTGCACAGCGCATGGCTCAAAAGGAGCAGCAAGCCGCTGAACAGATCAAGGTCACAGTGGTCTCAAGTTCTAGTGATTCTAATGAAGGTGAAGGTAATTGCTAACGCAGCAAGCGTGTTATTTTCGGTGGTGATGTTGATGGCCGCAAGGTGACAAGCGGGATAAAAATTGATAGCGGCAAGCGCCGTAGGCTCGATTTCCAGCCGTTTTGTGAGCCCGCGTTCCTTGTCCCACACCACGTTGGGAGGAGGATAAACAACCAGACTCCTAAAACGGCTGGAAATCGAGCCTACGGCGCTTGCCGCTATCAATTTTTATCCCGCTTGTCACCTACGATCGCGGTGGATATGCTCCAACCTCTTGCTCATGTAGAAGACGGTGTGATTTTGTGCATCCAACTGGCTCTCATTAAATTTGTTTGTATTTGTTGGTTTCAGACGTGAAAGATCCAGAGCCTCACTTGCAACCCCACGACACAGTGTCACTTGTTGCTAATACAAAAGACAAAGAACCAGTAGATGATCGCGTGACCAATCCACCGACCAATCAGTTGACTTCTTCGCCTGCTAACGATCAACCACTGTTTACATCGTCGTCTGAAGGCCAAGCCTCGTTGCAAGAAATTTGGAAGATGTTGGACGAAGAGGAAAGTTTCCAAAGCCCCACTCCAAGAAAAGCGCGGTCTAGTTCTCCTTGGCGCTCTACAGTCTCGAGGGACCTGGAACCTGATTACATTCCCACGCGCGATTCCCCCGAGCGTGACGTTTTCGCGCTGAAAGGAAGACGATCGGAAGTTCAAACACGACCCGCGAAACAGAGGCCAGGACTATCTAAAAAGGCTGCTGGAAAGGCCAAGCTCACTCCCAAGAAATTAAAAGTGAGAAATTATAACATCAGGGACGACGGCTGATCAAAGCAGTTTGTTATTACAATTTCGATAGTCGATGGTCAGTAGACATCTCGATCGGAGAGCAGGCGAAAGCATCATCAGAATGGTTTCCACACAAGAGCCATCCCAGGTGAGACAAGTCAAGTTGATTGGTAGCTGTCAAGAGATGGTGTACCATTTTATTACAAGGCGACAAGACTCGGAAATACATAGCAATGGTTTGCCCTGTTGACCCGTGGCTAGTGCATGTGACTGTCACGTGAAATTTTCACGCGCTACACGTTTACACACGTCATGTAACGAGACCCATAGAGACATTACAGAATTTTTGTTGGAAGTATTCTAATTATGTCTGGAAAGGTCAATTGAGCTTCTCCTGTTGGTAACCGGAGGACCAGAGACAAACAAGTTACCACTGAATGTTTGCATTAGCCTGTGAACTATTTTCCATAGGGAGGGGGACAAAATTAACGGCATAAACATATTACATAGCTATCACTTGCTGTCAAAATAAAGAGTAACCATTGCCCCGATGTACCAATGACGTCTCATAACTGAACTAAACGTAAAGTATGACAATCACATGGGAGAATTTCATTTGCAATTTTTGGACTCAATGCGTCAAGTAAGAGTTGCAAGGAGACGCGGTGTAATATCTTTTATGAGGCCTGCATACGGGGCTTTCAAGTGGCTTGACTCTCGGGAACTGGGGAGTAGGGTATACAATCAGATTTTTCTACATCATGGTAAACAACATTAATCTTGGAAAATCTACCGAAAAATCAAAAAACACCACCAACACTAAAGCGTGTTGATTGCAAGAGGATGCTTTTTTTACTATTGTTGTTATTTCTTACACTTTACAATTTTAGCATAAAACCGTTCTTATTTTATTATTGTTTTTTTTTTTTAATTGTATTCACTCACAGTACCGCGCTCTAAATATTTATGAGAAACGTTATATAACAAATTTGAACTGTTACTTGGCTAACACACTGTTTCAACATTTTTCACTGGGGACCGACATGTCAGGTGACGCGTTTAACACCAAAACCTTTTATCGCCTTACGACGTTTTTCTAGCCTACGAGTAGTCCCTCTTTCACTTAGTCCGTCGTGCGTGACGCGAAAGAAAACCGCGAGAAAAAAAATGGCCGCGCGCGAAATCCTGGGGGCGAGCTCCTCGCCTCGCTCCTGGCCTCCAGGATTTCGCGCGGCCATTTTTTTCTCGCGGTTTTCTTTCGCGTCACGCACGACGGACTAAGAGAAAGGGGGACTACTCGTAGTCTAACGTGTTTCCGCCTTCTATGATAACTTAAGATTCAAGTCATTCATTTAAGCCTACTCGTACAGTGCGACCACTTGAAATGGGGCATTTGAAAGCACATAAAAGTACGGAGATCTACCAAAAGTTTATCATTTTCGGATTGGCTAGCATCGATCGCAAATTTTGAGCGGTTTCTAACATTTTCGGTGTGGTGACTCCTGTGAGTTTTCAAGCTGAATGTTTTATTTGTTAATTATTATAAATTGACACTAAGGACAGGATACGTGGCGTATACAATGCGGAGAAATCGTTAGTTTACAAATTCAAGCTAGAAACACTTTTACTTGCCTAGAATAGATTTTTACGTGGTCGGGTTCGAGAAGTCTGTACTTTAACGCTCTTTATCCTATCCTAAGTAATTACCTTTTAAAAAAAGGGTTTTGACTCTACAAAACATGAAATCTATATTACACTAATTCAGGCTCCGTAATTAACTTCATCCTCTGTCCACATCCTTCCTACGAAATCAGACCCTGGTGAATTCCATTAAGCTTTCAACCCCGAACATGTTGATGACAACCTGCAAATAGAAAACATAATGAGGGCTCGGCCTTGATCATAAATTTATGAATGACGGCGTTCTAAGCTGCTTTAGTTAATCTTATTGTTCGCGGCAAAGTGTCCTTTGCTTCTGAACTTGGTTTCGATTCTGTAGCTTACAGGTGCTCGGCCAATTTTCGTTGTGGCGTTCAAGGAATATGCCATTCTTATTGTACAGTCAAGCTAAAGCAGGCATTACATCATGTTACCCTAGAAACCATGGAGTGTCGGTCTGTGTTCCTCTTCTTGCATTAGATTGACGTTTCTATATCGTTACGTAAAGAATTCGCGAGCCTCGCCAAAGTTGTGCAGAATAAACTTACATGACGAGCAAGACGCTGACGGCTAATGTGGGGATGGAACTTCTCAAAGCTTCTTTCCCTGAAGAAATACAGAAGAGAAGTCTTATTAAACTAAGCTTCAAGTGTGTGCTAATCGAGAATATGCTTTTATGTTTTTTTAAGCAAGTGGGTTCAGATTTGTAGCTGACCCCAACAACCTGGGCAAATTAGTTCAGTAAGAAAGGAACCTGGGGCCCGTTTCTCGAAAGCCCCGGAACCTTTTCGGGTCCGTAAAGCCATTTTTAGTTCATCTGTATCTAAAAACGGAGAAGTGTATACGCCTGAAACTTCTTGTATAAAGGGAACCTCTCTTCTTATCAAGAATATGTGCATAAAACAGCTCTGTAATCGTAAGGTTCGAGATTTTGCTATGGCTTTACGGGCCCAAAAAGTTTCCGGGGCTTTCAAGAAACGAGCCCCAGGCTCTGAGACAGGTGCTTCTGATAGTTCATTGACGTAATTACCGACTCTCAGAGGATAAGGTTGAGAGAGTTAATCCCTCATGTAGGCCTTATTCACAAGGTAATTTGGGGGAGCAGGGATGGCGCAGTGGTAAGAGCACTCACCAATGTGGCCCGGGTTCGATTCGATTCCCGGACCCGACGCCATAAGTGGGTTGAGTTTGTGTTGGTTCTCTTCTCTGCCTCGAGGGTTTTTCTCCGGGTTCTCCGGTTTTCCTCTCTCAACAAAAACCAACATACAGCTGATTCCAGCTCGCTGTAAGCTGTGCGCCAAGGTCACACATGGACCGTATAGCGGCTGCCAGAGGCGCCAATGTTTGCTTTCGGTTCGACCTTGTTGAGCTGCGTCGTTGCTGTACTTTGCGACGGCGATTCCGCGACAATTATTATTATTATTATTATTATTATTATTATTATTGGGAACTCCAGGGGGTCTGGAGATAGTCAATTGTGTGACGCAGTTCTCGGCCACGTGGACAGTCCAAGCGAACACATCCACGCAACGCGCGTGGCAACATTGTCGCGGAAGACCTGGGTACCATTATTTGAATAGAAGTTGAGAGGAATTTTCTTTGGAATATGGCCTATATGGGGGTATTAACTATCTTACTTTAATGAAAGAGATCCCGGAACAAACCTGAGATTGGACAATGTTTCTTGCATTTAACCACCTTTATAGTTGAAATGTTGTGTTTGGAACAAACGTTGCTTTCCAGCGTTATTGAGTGCGAGTAACATTGGCGGCTCGCTGTCACGGTTCCGCCCTTCTCTGAACAATACTTCTGACAATCACTTGAGTCGACAGACCAGTCTGTCCAGTTTACGGACATTGAAACTGTAAAAACCAAAAATAAGTTTAACCAGTCATTCCCGACCTAGCGGTGATCAACTTCACCATTAAAATAAGGGCAAGAGCAAAAGCGAGAGCGAGATTGAGAGCACTGGGAAGTAGAGCATGCAAGAGCAATAGCAAGGCCAGTTTAGCGCCAGCTGTCTTTTCGCGCTTCACCCTCCAGGGCCCAGGTCGCGAGGGCTCAGCCCGAGAAGACCGCTGGCACTTCAGACTAATAAATGTTTTGCTTCCGATCGTTTATCTCTCCCTCATCGCAACATCACCAAATTACCATTTGCGCTCTGTTGTGTAGTAAAAAATTTAAGTCTGTGGTCAGAATAAACGAAATCGTTCTTTACAGTGTATTTCACGGCTTTCGAAAAAAATTACAGAATTTACCGCGACACTGTTTTCACCATGCACTACCATTTGTTATCCATAGCGACTGGAAGCGTCAAAAGGCGTATGTATTAAGAGCCTATTACAGGGGCGGATCTAGGTGGAGGGTGCCGGGGGTGCGCACCCCCACCTCTGAGATGAAGCCTTCTTCTTCGTATTCGCTTTTAAAATTTGTTTACCTCATCAGGCAGTTACGCCATTCCTCAGCGGTGGACTCCCTCCTAAGAAAAATCCTGGATCCGCCCCTGTATTGAAAGTTTTCGGGGTAGGGGATATTAGGGTAAAAATTAACGGGATATTAAGATCTCATAAAACGGGATATCGAGTAGGAAAACCGTTAACTTTTGCAACTGGTCAGGAATTAACGGGATAAGGGATATGTAGGCCAAAAATTAACGGGATGTGGGATACTCAGTGCCCCCAAATGGGGCCTCAGTCTTTGTTCGAGTTGTCGAGCGATACCTGAAGGTGAAGTTGTCAGCATCTGTATGATGGAGGATGATCTCGTCGTTGTGGGTTCAGCAGTTGTTGAAGCGCTGCTGTTTTGACGAGAAGCCGAGCTTAACGAATAGCTGGCGGTCATTGACTGTGTCTGACGTGTCAAAAAGCCAGAGGGACTCGAGTTTGTTGCTAGCTTCTTTGAGGAAGTGACATAAACACTGCTTATCTGCGACCCTGTCTGCGTTGCCTTTCCAGAAACATGAACACTGCTCGTCTGCGACCCTGTCTGCGTTGCCTTTCCAGAAACATGAACACTGCTCGTCTGCGACCCTGTCTGCGTTGCCTTTCCAAAAACACTGCTCGCCATCAGCGGTTCCGATGACTTGGCGGTAACGCTGACCTCCTGTGACGTTGATGGCGACAACTTTACAGAATTAGAAGGGCCGCTTGTCTGGGCCGCTGACCTCGTTGNTGCTGTTTTGACGAGAAGCCGAGCTTAACGAATAGCTGGCGGTCATTGACTGTGTCTGACGTGTCAAAAAGCCAGAGGGACTCGAGTTTGTTGCTAGCTTCTTTGAGGAAGTGACATAAACACTGCTTATCTGCGACCCTGTCTGCGTTGCCTTTCCAGAAACATGAACACTGCTCGTCTGCGACCCTGTCTGCGTTGCCTTTCCAAAAACACTGCTCGCCATCAGCGGTTNACCCTGTCTGCGTTGCCTTTCCAGAAACATGAACACTGCTCGTCTGCGACCCTGTCTGCGTTGCCTTTCCAAAAACACTGCTCGCCATCAGCGGTTCCGATGACTTGGCGGTAACGCTGACCTCCTGTGACGTTGATGGCGACAACTTTACAGAATTAGAAGGGCCGCTTGTCTGGGCCGCTGACCTCGTTGATGTAGCAGCTGAAACACCAATCGTTACAGCAGACGAATAAGAGACTTCGTTTGTTTCTGTTGATTGCTCCGTTGAGGAACTGACAAGAACGCTGGTCATCGGCGACTTTGTTTGCATTGAATTGCTAGAAACGATGCTCGTTTCCGGCGTTTCTGATGACCAGGCGGTAACGTTGCTGCTGTACGGCGAAACTAATGAAGATAACACGACAGGCTTGCTGTTTGTCTGCGCTGGTATTACCGATGATGAGGGTGAAACATTTGTCGAATACGCAGAGCTGACAGGAGTGGTGAGAACAGTTGTACTTGAAGATCCTTTCACTGTTGTGATTTGAGTTATTACAAGAGTAATCTGGAGAATCCGCAGTGATGAGTGCATTTTGATTCTTAGGTAGGGCCTGTGGGAAAAGAAATAAAAAAGAATCTGTTCAGTTGGCGACCGAGCAAATCGAACTAATCGCTATGATGGAAAGTACCGTTGTCGCGCCTAGCACTATTTTTATTGATCTACGGTAGCTCTTAATTGGAGACGGAGTGGTGATTTCTTTTAATTTTCCGGTATAAAGATAGGAATGCGATATAACACTTTACAACTGAAAAGTCCTGTAAAGGGAGCTTCAATGAAATGCATGTATGTAACTAACGATACTGTAATTCATGAACTGTAACAGGGGAGGTTCTCTTAGTCGTAAGCTCTTGTTAATTCCAAGATAAGAGAACAGACTACATAATTTACTCTTCTTATCTGTATTTTCTCAGTGTCTCACTCACTTGTAGCGGGGATGCGGGGCAGGGGGTTAGTTGAAATAGGGGTGTAGTCATGACAACGCCCCAGCTGTCCCGTTTCGTTATATCGCAGTTGAATACCTGACTTCCAGCCCGTTTTTGTCGATGTGCCATGTGCTGCAACCTCTGCGTACTTTAGACTACGTGATTCGAATGGATCGAAACTAAACGCATTTCGTTTTTTGCTCGCGTGCAAAGTTCACCGATACATATTTTTCAAATACTCTCAGAGTTAACAAGCTGCTTCATCGATTAATTTTGCATTAATGTTCTCAGAACTGAATTCAGTTTCTGTATGAAATTCTGGGAAAACTTTCCAAATTAAGGCATATAATGGCCGGCTGACAAATAGTTCCTTTTTCTTTACAACTAAAGGTACTGTAACCCAAGAACCTGGAAGAGAAGAGGATCTCAGCCATTGTCGTAAGCTCTTGTACATTCAAAGATAAGAGAGCAGACTGCGTAATTCACTCGCCTAATCTGCTTTTTCTCAGTATCTTTTAAAAATCTCACTCACTGGAAGGGAGAGTCTACTGGAATAGGGATGCGTAATACGGAAAAACATTCAGTGTTAAGGAAAGTGCTTAATAGAAATGGGGCCTTACTAGAGGGAAGGCACTTGATTTCTGCCGTCTTTTCTGGTTGCTTCGTCCCAAGAAAAACCAGAAGGTGAACATGCCTGCCTCCCGTCCAAGGCTTAGCGCGGTCATAACAAAGCGAGAACACGTCAGGGGACTGGGTTGAATGGGCAGCTCATTCCGCCAAGTTTTTCTTCATATAGTAAAATAGGTGAGAAACGCATCAAAGGACCCAAGAACTCCAAGCTTGTTGTTTATGAACATAGCGCATGGTGGTAATTAACAGAGCACAAAAACGGAGTTTTTGTCTAGTTTGGCCGCTGCCAGTTTCCGGTTCGGTTTGTACCAGGAGCTTAAAGGACGCAAATGCATTTACACCGCAATTCAGAGCAACTACTCCATGAAGACGTCTAAATACAAATATTTCTTGAATGCTCACACTACCATCATTTGCGTGTTCCTACAACCACTTCATTTTATGACGAAATAGAACACTTTCTCTTCCATCTGACAGAAAGCTGGACAGTTTCTAAATTAAATAGAATCGGTTTAGGGTAATGATCAATACAACTGGAGTGAAAGATTTGGTTCTTTCGACAACTGAAGCCCTATATGCGTGCTATAAGAACTTGTTCACTATACCTTGAAAAAGTCCCTTGCACGGCCCCAGTTGTCCCGTTTCGTTATATCGCAGTTGAATGCCTTTTTTCCAGCCAGTTTTTGTCGATGTGCGATGTGCTGCAACCACTGCATGTGTACTTTGGACTACGTGACTCGAATCAGGAACGAAACTTAACGCATTTTTTTTTAGCTCGCGTCCAAAGTTCATCTATATTCAGTTTTTCAAGTACTCTAACCGATAAACTGCCTCATCTGTTAATCACTCTTTTATTGACAACCTTTACCGGAATATAAACGAGTGATGTTTTTGCATTAATATTCCGAGAAGTTCCTGTATGAAATTGTGGGAAAACACACTCCAAATAAAGGCATAATGACTGGCTGACAGATAGTTTGTTATCGTCTGTAAAACCGACAATTGTGGTGTTTTTCCGTTACTATAGTGACTCTTCCCAAACATTCGGTCATAGTTTGAACAGGTGGGCTTTCTGGTTTAATAAAACTTTCTGGTTAAAATTACCGTCGATTACAGTATTTTCACAATATTCAAGAACTTTAGCTTTGTACGTTATGGATCGAGCTTTTAAGCTGCTTTTTTCTTTTGACCAACTGAAAAAGTGAAGTTTTGCACCGCCTTAGTTGCAAAAACAGTTGAAAAGGAGAATGACGTATCTGTTTACTAAATATGACTCCGAGAGGTTCGTACTAAAAAAGTAAAACTTTCTCTCAAATTGACGAGTTCCGTACCAATAACGAATGCATGCATGGAATATTTAAATTGAAGTCAACTACCACCTAAAAATTCTGTAAAGTTTAAAACTAGCTAGCGCGCGCTAATCCCCGGTCAAAAAGCTTAATTCTACTTGAAAATCTCGTCGGATTATGCTAAACATTTATTCCGCACCTATACTTATTGACGTGGTCTTAAACTTTTTCTAGAACGTTAATACCTACGAGGGTAAAGGACTCCTTAAGTTAATTTTCATACTGCTTTAGAACCCGCTTCACGGATCGAACTCCATTCAGTCTTAAAAAATATAAACACGTACAGTCGTAAACTCAAGTGATAAATACATTTAGAGCAAAGTGCAATAAATAACCATTTTCACGTTTATTCCGGCGTTTCCCGAGCTCTAAAGTAAAGGGTAGTTCAGCAGAGCCCTTTGTATTGTGTCCAATTCGCTTTTAATTCGAAACATTGAAGCACTGGAATAAAAGCGCCTTGATAGTTTGTGCAGAACTTGAGAGATTTTTAAGCGTTAATACCATGGCTAAAAACTGATTATTTTTACATTTGTTTGTTCGTTTTTCGTAAAGACGCTATTAAACGTGATTAAAATCTTAAAGTTTCAAAGTTGCCTCAAATTGTAACGACATAACTCCGACAGATTCCTCGGTTACAACTGCCGTCTCCGTCGGTGAAATTCTTAATCGTATTTTACATTTAGATTTTCCCTGATATTGAAATTCAGGATGGCTTCCTCGAGTTCAGACAGCATTATCTTTTTTGGATCTTCTGTTATCGGAAGCCGGAATTACACTACTTTCAGCTTTAAAATCTTCATCCAGTCTTCGTTATGATTTGAACCATTTCAGTTATTTTACCAGCGCAAGCAACTGGTCGCTTTAAAGCGCAATTTGTTATTTCTGTACTGCGCAAAATGACCTCAAAATTTGGTAACCATTTTCTTCTAAACAATAACAAANCAGCCCGTTTTTGTCGATGTGCCATGTGCTGCAACCTCTGCGTACTTTAGACTACGTGATTCGAATGGATCGAAACTAAACGCATTTCGTTTTTTGCTCGCGTGCAAAGTTCACCGATACATATTTTTCAAATACTCTCAGAGTTAACAAGCTGCTTCATCGATTAATTTTGCATTAATGTTCTCAGAACTGAATTCAGTTTCTGTATGAAATTCTGGGAAAACTTTCCAAATTAAGGCATATAATGGCCGGCTGACAAATAGTTCCTTTTTCTTTACAACTAAAGGTACTGTAACCCAAGAACCTGGAAGAGAAGAGGATCTCAGCCATTGTCGTAAGCTCTTGTACATTCAAAGATAAGAGAGCAGACTGCGTAATTCACTCGCCTAATCTGCTTTTTCTCAGTATCTTTTAAAAATCTCACTCACTGGAAGGGAGAGTCTACTGGAATAGGGATGCGTAATACGGAAAAACATTCAGTGTTAAGGAAAGTGCTTAATAGAAATGGGGCCTTACTAGAGGGAAGGCACTTGATTTCTGCCGTCTTTTCTGGTTGCTTCGTCCCAAGAAAAACCAGAAGGTGAACATGCCTGCCTCCCGTCCAAGGCTTAGCGCGGTCATAACAAAGCGAGAACACGTCAGGGGACTGGGTTGAATGGGCAGCTCATTCCGCCAAGTTTTTCTTCATATAGTAAAATAGGTGAGAAACGCATCAAAGGACCCAAGAACTCCAAGCTTGTTGTTTATGAACATAGCGCATGGTGGTAATTAACAGAGCACAAAAACGGAGTTTTTGTCTAGTTTGGCCGCTGCCAGTTTCCGGTTCGGTTTGTACCAGGAGCTTAAAGGACGCAAATGCATTTACACCGCAATTCAGAGCAACTACTCCATGAAGACGTCTAAATACAAATATTTCTTGAATGCTCACACTACCATCATTTGCGTGTTCCTACAACCACTTCATTTTATGACGAAATAGAACACTTTCTCTTCCATCTGACAGAAAGCTGGACAGTTTCTAAATTAAATAGAATCGGTTTAGGGTAATGATCAATACAACTGGAGTGAAAGATTTGGTTCTTTCGACAACTGAAGCCCTATATGCGTGCTATAAGAACTTGTTCACTATACCTTGAAAAAGTCCCTTGCACGGCCCCAGTTGTCCCGTTTCGTTATATCGCAGTTGAATGCCTTTTTTCCAGCCAGTTTTTGTCGATGTGCGATGTGCTGCAACCACTGCATGTGTACTTTGGACTACGTGACTCGAATCAGGAACGAAACTTAACGCATTTTTTTTTAGCTCGCGTCCAAAGTTCATCTATATTCAGTTTTTCAAGTACTCTAACCGATAAACTGCCTCATCTGTTAATCACTCTTTTATTGACAACCTTTACCGGAATATAAACGAGTGATGTTTTTGCATTAATATTCCGAGAAGTTCCTGTATGAAATTGTGGGAAAACACACTCCAAATAAAGGCATAATGACTGGCTGACAGATAGTTTGTTATCGTCTGTAAAACCGACAATTGTGGTGTTTTTCCGTTACTATAGTGACTCTTCCCAAACATTCGGTCATAGTTTGAACAGGTGGGCTTTCTGGTTTAATAAAACTTTCTGGTTAAAATTACCGTCGATTACAGTATTTTCACAATATTCAAGAACTTTAGCTTTGTACGTTATGGATCGAGCTTTTAAGCTGCTTTTTTCTTTTGACCAACTGAAAAAGTGAAGTTTTGCACCGCCTTAGTTGCAAAAACAGTTGAAAAGGAGAATGACGTATCTGTTTACTAAATATGACTCCGAGAGGTTCGTACTAAAAAAGTAAAACTTTCTCTCAAATTGACGAGTTCCGTACCAATAACGAATGCATGCATGGAATATTTAAATTGAAGTCAACTACCACCTAAAAATTCTGTAAAGTTTAAAACTAGCTAGCGCGCGCTAATCCCCGGTCAAAAAGCTTAATTCTACTTGAAAATCTCGTCGGATTATGCTAAACATTTATTCCGCACCTATACTTATTGACGTGGTCTTAAACTTTTTCTAGAACGTTAATACCTACGAGGGTAAAGGACTCCTTAAGTTAATTTTCATACTGCTTTAGAACCCGCTTCACGGATCGAACTCCATTCAGTCTTAAAAAATATAAACACGTACAGTCGTAAACTCAAGTGATAAATACATTTAGAGCAAAGTGCAATAAATAACCATTTTCACGTTTATTCCGGCGTTTCCCGAGCTCTAAAGTAAAGGGTAGTTCAGCAGAGCCCTTTGTATTGTGTCCAATTCGCTTTTAATTCGAAACATTGAAGCACTGGAATAAAAGCGCCTTGATAGTTTGTGCAGAACTTGAGAGATTTTTAAGCGTTAATACCATGGCTAAAAACTGATTATTTTTACATTTGTTTGTTCGTTTTTCGTAAAGACGCTATTAAACGTGATTAAAATCTTAAAGTTTCAAAGTTGCCTCAAATTGTAACGACATAACTCCGACAGATTCCTCGGTTACAACTGCCGTCTCCGTCGGTGAAATTCTTAATCGTATTTTACATTTAGATTTTCCCTGATATTGAAATTCAGGATGGCTTCCTCGAGTTCAGACAGCATTATCTTTTTTGGATCTTCTGTTATCGGAAGCCGGAATTACACTACTTTCAGCTTTAAAATCTTCATCCAGTCTTCGTTATGATTTGAACCATTTCAGTTATTTTACCAGCGCAAGCAACTGGTCGCTTTAAAGCGCAATTTGTTATTTCTGTACTGCGCAAAATGACCTCAAAATTTGGTAACCATTTTCTTCTAAACAATAACAAAAATTAATTACTTGTGTGAAAACGCTTCTAAGACGGTTTTATTGAAATTTTGGTTTTATTGAAGTCTCAGTTACCTCAGGCGGTTTAATACAACTATAAGATGTACCGCCACGAAGACGCCGCGTACAAGTTGAATTAACTTTTCATCTGACATATCGACGGTTAAATTGCAATATCTCTCAGTTCAGCTGCGGCCATATCGTTTTGAATTAGCGCAGGCTTTCGTTTCGTTGCACTCGGCTAATCAAATCTTGTACGACTGAAGCCTAGCTGAAAACCTTACAGTGAAATTCTACGACGACTACAAGTTTGTCAAGCCCTATGCACAGACGAAATACGCAACTTAGCTATGTTATTACACCCATCTGTCAAGCTAAATGACTGAGTGAGAAAAATTGAAAGACATAAGAAATTTGCATGTTTTTTTCCAAACCGAAATGTTCCATCTTTTTATCCTTATTGATTCCAACTGGTCCTTTAACTAAGTAAAACGGTACGTACACAAGAAAACAAACACAGGATAGTACCTCTTTGAACATGCAGATTTTATACCACCACTTTTCCAAGCGCTTTCGCTGTCTGCTAATACAATGCCCGTTTTATTTCCCGTGCCGCGACTAAAAAGATTGTTGCAGCTAATTTCAGCTTATATTTGCTCCTTATCTAAGCCTGTCGAAGACGCTTTTTAAACGCTTGGGGTGTGAAGAACTGCACCTTTTCGGTCGGGTACAAAAACCATCGAAAACTTGAACTCGCTGGTCCGTACAAATGAAGACACTTTTTCGCCACAAAAAAAGTTGTTTCCTCGATTTAACAGCATTAATAAAATAGTTGATTACGGCGAAATCAATATACTATGACATTGTAATATCATACTGAACTTTCAGTATTATGCACATATTCATGTCTTCTTCATTTTACAGAACCATATACAAATCGTGCTCAATACGATCTTACCTCTCAAAGAAGCAAAGTCGTTCTTCAGTAAGAACTGAGATAGAAAATCCTCTCCTTTTTTGACCGTTTGGTCCGCTCGTGATCTGATCGTACAAATTGGTTATTTCTTTGGCTTTTTTAGAGCATAAACTTACGAAAAGGACTCCGGTTTAAGTCGCAAAATTAACTTCCTTGGACTCCCTTCTGACCATCTGCTTGATCCGGCAGCCGGCCCTGAATGCTAAGCAGCAAGTGGAAATTTATTTCACGTTTACAAACGGGAGGCTCGGCTGTATATTGTGACAAGTTATTCTTGCACGGCTACTTACATATTGCCATGAGAAACTGTCACTACATACCGCATTTGAATGGCTTCAGCTGTCTCTTACAAATGGGTTTGACAACTTGCTTAGACGTTGTCAATTCTGATGTATAAGTAGTCTGTGTCTTGTTCTTTTGTTCCGGCGTAGTCTGTTTGAACTGGATTATGTTTTTATCTTGTGGCCAGCTTCGTCTATATGAAAGAATGGCTGGAAAGACTTCCTTTGATACAAGCGATAAAGAACAAATATTACCACATGAATAGAATTTCGTATCAAGGTATAAACTCAACCCTAAGGTTAACGAACATTTGTTACTAAACTTCGTTTTTTGCCGACAATAACACCATTTTACCATAAATCATTATGCATAGTCTTATTAAATTATGAATTCTGCTATTAATTCCCTCTCCTTTATAACTACGGATCTGCATCTTTTGAAGTTAAAACAACTATAATTCTTTTCAAATCGTTGTTTAGTATGCGTGAAAACATGAATGTTTACATAGGAAAGTGTATTACAATGGTCGTTAACAAAGTGACGAACAGAGCTGCAAAGTGAAGAATAGATTTTTTAAAATTACACTACGTAGCACATAGCTCGCTTATTAGTTCACTTTTCACTCTCCGTTTTTTTCTTTTTTCGAGAATTGATATTTTAAAAAATCGCAGCATTAAGCTCCGATATTAATTTAAAATAGTTTATTTTTGCAAACAAATAAAGGTGGGTTTACGCCATTCAAGTATCAATAGGACAAATTAAAATAATCTGTGGGATGTCCCGGTTAACCTCCTTCGCCATTGTCAAACAATAAATGTTGTTAGCAACAGGTATATCAATCAAGAAGCTGTAGCGAAGCAACATTGCATAGAGATTATGAAAATGTCGGAACAATAATAATAAAAAAAAGTTTGTTTGAGTTCTATTTCATTCATTTCCTTTATGTATTTTACTAGATACATTTATGCCCTTTACCAGATGCCAAAGTCCAAAATCAACGAACCATGTCGTTCATTCTAAAGTGACTGAAGAGGAATGAGTTCAGCCAGATTAAAAATAATGAATTGTTCGATTAAGTCTACTCTTGAGAAAAGAATCTCTTTTGAACACCCCAAAGAGGACAGTGAGTGATTACGAAGTGGACAAGGCTCTAAATGAACACTTTACCTTTTGTTAAATTAATTGTTACATTTATCCTCTTAGCAAAGCGTCTCATTATAACTTATTCTTTTTAATTTCATTTCGCAACAGTCCTAATTAAATATCTCACTCCGTTTGAGTTACTAAAACCAACAGCGAGGACAAGAATGAAATTATCAGTTTGGCAAATTTCCACAGCCCCGACAAGGAGTTCTGACATTTAAGACCGAACAGAAAACTTATTTTTGACAGTGTTTAAGGGGGTATGGTTCCCTAAAATATGGCGATGTTCATGAAAAATTCAATTTCTTGGAAATACAAGACTTAAGACCCTTGAGGACTTGTCAAAAACATTTTGAAACGATCTTGC